TTAGGTTAGTTCATGTCGATAGTGCACTAGGTAGTGTTTGGACCGGCAACTGCAAACTGTATCTAGTGCACACCCACACAACATGTAAAATCTTATTATAAATGTTTTGTTGACTATTGTTTTCTCTTTCATTATAAATATTGGAAAATTGTTAATTGACCGATGGTTTCGCTTTAGGTGTAAGCATGTACAAGCGTTCTTATGAATTAGCACAATGTTGAACTAAAACAATGTTTGGCTCATACAGAAGTAATGCCACAATTTAACGATCATTGTTATTTGCTTTTCTGTTTATTTCTTCATTTTATTACTATAGATGAGTGTAAAATGTTCATTACATTCCTATTAATAAAGAAAAATATGAAAGGAATTTATATCATCTGAAAAACACATTTAACATGTGTGTCATGCTTCGACTCAAATTGGCAGGCTCAACCCATATGACGCCTCATAGAAGGCCCAGGGCCTCATAGAAAATCGGTGTTAAGTGAGTCTTTTGCTGCTTTTCACCGAATAAGTGGGAGAGCAAAGAGCAAGAGAGCAAATGTGGGCAGCTAAACATCCTGTCCCGGCAGGTTTCTTCAAACCATTAGAAAACCTGCCACCGACTGCTGACTGCTGACATCGACTGCAATGGCCAACATGGAGATCACTGAATCGCTAACGCACGCAGGTTGGTAACGACCAACGTGCGCGCATAAGCGATTCAGTGATCAATGCAAGAGCAAATGGCAAATTGGGGCTACATAGACCAGTCACAAACGCGCTGTGAATGTGGCTCTCCAATGCAAACCATGCAACATTTGCTTTCTTATGTACTGTGCCTATCCAGCTGCACTGTAGAGGAACTGTGGAGAGCAACGGACAAGGCTGTGGTGGAATTTTGGGCGTACAAAATTTAGGTGTGTTCATCCGCTGATACGACGAAGACCGATTAAGTGAGATTATCTCCTCCTAATTCTTGGGAGGGGGCTCAAAGGGCGGCAAATGCACGGCAGATCAGGTGACACGTGACCTCCTATACTATCAAAAAAATCACAAACAGTCAAATCTGAATTTCAATTTTTCACATTCTTTCACCAGGGAAATAATTCAAACTATCAATAAAAACAACACATCTGCCGCAAAAATACAGACAAATGCTTCAAATTCGTGACGCAGGTCCATCAAAGCCCTCTTGATTTATAACATTGTCCTCTGCGTTATCTAATACCGGATATCGAATATATTTCGTTTGTAGTTGGCTTTGAAAAGCTAACGTAAGGGTGATGACGGTTTTTTACTTTTTTTTTTGTGAAAAGCCAGTGATTTTTGTAAATATTCCTCGTACCGTGTATCAGATAGGTTGCTATTTATGTAGTGTTATCTTTGCTGTAAGAAAATATAAACCACAGTTACTTACGTATCAAATCTAATGCTCTGAAAATCACACAGTATAAAGTTACTTCTTACTTAATGTTCTTTTTCTTAGATACAACTAACAAAATAGGTTATAACTGTGTACTGCGACACAGTTAAACAGTTTTTATTTTTCGATAACCGATATTTCGTTGTTTTTTTTCGCTCCATTCTTAAAAATGAAATATTATATATTATTTTTTCACCATCTTATCATTTTTTGTCATTTGCCAGCCCCCACCGAAAACACATCATCGACACTCATCTATTTTTCATAGAGTCTGATAAAACCACATTCAGCCTGTCTCTCTTATCAGTTTGTGAAGTACTCATTTCCTCTTCACTCCCCTAACACATTATGATAGGCTCATCAGATCAGTTTTCAGGTTATTTTGGAGTTTGGTGACATTTTTAGATCTCTACAAAAACTGTTCACAAAAGATTTTTTACGAAATAAAGTGATAAGAGTCGGAAAAGGTATGCTGAAGTGCTTTGTGAGAGCATATGGAACTTAGAATTGTCAATGAAAGGTAGATTAAGTATAAATACCAAGGCCGCTACAGAGCCTTGTAATTAATCATAATTAGAATAAGGGACCCTATTTGACGAAATAAGGTCCCTTATTAGAATAAAATACCCTATATTGCACGTGCTATGTAGGGTGCCGTAGTTTCGTCCGTCCCATAATAAACGTAATTCGTTCCGTTGTAAACTTTACATAATAACATTTAATAATTTGTAACAGAATTCTTATCAATCTGTAAAGCCTACTTTTGTAGCTTCGATAATTTTCTTTGTAACTTTATACAGGAGGACACTTGACTTTAACAATTTTGCCAAAGTACAGGGTGGCGCAATAGAACGTGCATATTGCATCATCTTTTTTCGCGGGGTAGAAAGTGCGCGGGCGGGGGGAGCCTGCATCGTTGGGTAGGCGGGCTCATGGAGTTTTAGTCACTATGAGTCACTTCGACGGGAAGCGTCGCGCATTTTGCGTGCGCGCATTTTACGAGAACTCTCGTTCATACATCGTTACTAGGCGTTTATATTGTTCTGAATATGGACTACGGCAAATTAGTAAAGCTCCGAGTGCTAATTTAATTAAAATATGGGTACAGCGTTTTGAAGAGACTGGTTCAACGATTAAACCACAAGCAAAAGGTTGTCCAAGAACATCTAGGACCGACGACAATATTGAGAGAGTTATGCAGTCTGTACGAGGAGATCCACAAATGTCTACTCGTAAGAGATCGTCTGTCTTACACTTATCGCGACGAAGTTTGCAACGAATTTTAAACTTGGATCTTAAACTGCATCCTTACAAGCTGCAGTTAACACAAGAATTGAAAGAGTCTGACTTCGGAGCAAGGCTCGCATTTGCTAATGAAATGCTTAATCGATTTTCCAATTTTGACAATATCCTTTTCTCAGATGAGGCCCACTTCCATATCAAAAAAAAACGGGTTCGTAAACCGTCAAAATTGTCGTTACTGGAACAGTGAGAATCCCAAACTCAAGCACCAGAAACCACTGCATAGTCCTAAAGTGACAGTATGGGCAGCAATCTCTGGTAGAGGAATAATTGGACCGTTTTTCTTTGAAAATGCGCTGGGGCAAAACGTCACTGTTAATACCGAACGCTATGTTGCGATGTTGGAAGGTTTTTTGGCTCCAGAGCTTGAAAATTCAAGAATAGTGAATTCTAGGACTTGGTTTCAACAAGACGGAGCTACCTGTCACACATCAAATGACTCCATGGCGGTTGTGAAACAGATGTTCCCTGGCAGACTGATTTCGAAAAGAGGTGATATCCCATGGCCCCCACGTAGTCCAGACGTGACGCCTCCTGACTTTTTTTTGTGGGGATACCTCAAGAACAAAGTCTACAGTAATAATCCGAAAAACAACGATCAGCTCAAGGACAATATCCGTGGTGAAATGGCAGCAATTACACCAGCATTACTGAAGAAAGTTTTCAATAACTTCCGTTTGCGATTAGAGGAGTGTCGTCGTAGAGAGGGTCATCATTTGGACGATGTTATTTTTAAAAAATAAACTTCAGTTATTTCTTAATAATACCTCAGTTTTATTTTAACTATACCTTTTGTATTTATTTTCTAATCAATATTTTAAATATGCACGTTCTATTGCGCCACCCTGTATTTCAAAATGGAAAACCGATTTTACATTTCATAACTAAATCTCACATCATGTGTGAGAGCCAGAAAAAAAAACTCGGCTTAACGTACTAACGTACAAAGGGAAACAGTTTTTTTCTTAAGATTTTATTTTACATGAAAAAGAACAGCTTTCCAGTCACGACAGGCGGACGGACGAACATAACACGATGCTGTGAAATGAAAGATAATAGAATTAGAAGAATTGAGGAAGCTCACGAAGTATTTCAGGAAAGACGACGTTACTGACAGGAATGTATCTTCTATATTTATTAGCACAATATGTATAAAAGCCCTTCAAATTATTTTTCTATTTATATTTTTTCATGTCTGTTTTGACATAGTTATTTTTATCATAATAATACTACGCCATAATTTGTATTTGGTTTCACACACACACATTCACAGTTTATGTTGACATAATTATCTTTTAGGCTAATTTGTTTTCGCATTATTTGGTATAAAGAATAAAAGTATTAACTGATCTGGAAATTTTATGGCCAATCATTTTAATGTTTACGGATAACTTACAAAATACAAAAAAAAAAACAGGAAAGCAATTTGGCTATATTTACTGTTATTTCTGCTTTGACTGTTTATTGTTATTGTAATGCTCCTGGAAGTAAGTATGGCAACACTTGCGTTTATGACACTCGTAACTCTTCACAATACTGGTTATGTTTGATTTGTTTTTATTTTCATAACATTAAGGAAAATGATTTTTTCAGGCAATAATATAGAAAATTGTAAACAGTTTGGTTAAAAAAAGTATAAGAAAGTTAATAAATTAATAATTAGTGGACCTAAATTATGAGCGGTATTGCTTTAAACGATAGGTGATAAGAAGCTTTCCTGTCTGCCTGATTTAGAGCATTCTAGAGTAAGACAAACTGAGTAATATAAGAAGTATTGACACACACTGAATAATGACTGGGACATAATAACAAAAGATAACTTGAAGAGCGGAGATTTCTGTTATGGTACTGCCAAGATACTGATACTGTAAGTTGGAGATAAGATATAAAAACTGATAGAATATGATATAATTTATCATATACACATATAAAATTACTTATCCTGACTGATTCATCACCGCTGTGGCTACAAACTCTAAATTCTCAGAAAGAATTTTAGTAAATTTCACCCATTTTTTTTGGTGACGGGGTGGCAAATCCCTTTGGACCTCCGCCTCCTAGGGGCCGCAGGAGCCCGGAGTTCGTGGTGTTTCCACTAAAAACCACCCCGACAGCCGACCTCAGGCGCCCTGGCTTTCAGGTTTCTCCTGAAGGAAATTTCACCAATAAGGGCGTCTAAGCTGCTGGTAAAGCTAGAATTTACTCTATTCAATAGGTACAGTTACAGACAGTACACCAAGCAATACACAGATTTTTGTTTCAATAAATAATACTTTATTATTATTATATACTAAAAACAAAATACTTTTGTAGAACTTATAAATATCATAATTAAGCTGCACAATGACAAATAAGTGGTAAGAAATGTTTTGGAGGCAGACCCAGGGGCACTGAAAGAAAAAGAAGTTAATTATTTTCATTATACATACCCGTTACCCATTACCCATTATACATAGCTCAGAAAAATATAGGAAACAATTTACGATGCTCGAATGGCGTAGTGATTAGCGGTCACCTCGCCATTTCCTGCTGCGCTAAGTGTTGTGGACTTGATCTCCACATAGGACAAGACTGTGTGATCCACAAATTGTTGTTCTTTTTTCCGGTTTATATATGTTTTTAAAATTCCCCGCGACGCAGGATATATTCCTAATGTGGGAGATTTCTTTAAAAAAAAAAGAAAAAACATTAATTTAAGTAAAATATTGTAAATATTTTAATGGAAAGTCATTGATTAGAGATTCTTGGTGTATCATTATTTTTTATGTCCACTGCTCTACAGATACACCAATGGACTGAATGTTTGATGTGTATATTAGACGCCAAAACTTTCATATACTATCAAGTCTTAAAGAATGCACTTACATTCCTAACTTAATAACACCTGTGATTAACGTTACTAAAATGTACTTTTTTCTAGCAAAAATAGTAGAAATCCGTAATACTACGTAGACTTACCCGTCAATAAGCGTATTTTTGATATCGTTGATAATGAAATCAGTCACCAACTCTTTGGCATCTAAAGCTGTTACGTAATCCGAATGATCAAAGCTTTCCCTTGCTACCCTACGAGCTATCGCATTGGGCATGTCTTCAACCATAGTAAGAACATCTTTTTCATCAAGTAAAGTGTCATTCATTGAGTAATGCATTGTCACTTTACAGCTAATTAAGCTTAAATTGTATGGAGGCGGCTCTGCAAGTCCATATTGAACCTGGTTGCTTTCAGTGCCAAAATGGTAGCGACGAAAGAGCTTGTCTCGTATATTTTGACCGTAATGTGCGACTTGCTTTAGGGATGCTCCAGATGGAGTAAACTCTTGTGCAGCAGACGATGAATTTCTCTGAAACAAGTGTCGATTAAACGATATACAAACGTAATAAAAAAAAAATGTCTCAAATTTACTGTTTTTTTTTTTATTTGGGGAGCTTACAGCTACAGTACAAGTACATCAGTAATTTAGTTGATGAAATACCAATAACAAACTTCCACAGATACACAAGAAACATTTTACTTAAGTTACATTTTAATTAAATTATTAAATATGTAAATAGATGAAAACATATGCAAAGCCAACTATGACAAAAAATATATATATTTGCATTGTATAACAACACATATCTTTGAATGATATTATTCTTATCTAATTACGCATTAGTTATTATTTTCTCTTTTATAAACAAGAGAGAAAAACAAAAACATATTTTATTTCCCTACTTATGAATGACGAGAGTTTGAGTTTTAAATCAGAATTTATAACTTTTATGAAAGTGTAGCAAAAGTAAATACATTAGCAAGTATTTCTAGTATCTGAATAGATAGTATCGAAATAGATAACACGTTTAAAGCATTATACAAAAACGTTTTATTATTATGTCTTGAGTCTATAAATACTGAAAGTCACTTAGGTATTTTGTATCTTGCCATCATAAACAGTTCTTTATCAGTTCAGTTTTTAGGCATTATATTACACATACACACATTCGACAACTAACACTAAAAATACGAATTGGCTTTTATGCGAAAACTGAGATGACAAAGTACCTGAGCTCAAATCAATAACAATAATGTTTTTGAGAAATGCTATAAGTGGAAATATTTGATACAATAATAAAGATAAACTGACATCTGCCGAGGCCTCTATATATACTTATTTCAGACAAAAAGCTGACAACCCAGATATAGAGTCACAGTCACAACATCCATGATGAATATCATTTGCGAGTAGCGGTATCAAAGATGGAGAAGTTTTTTTCTTATCGATCACCTGCTACTCTAGATCATATGACTGCAGTTTTGTTTCCAATAAGAATTGGATTGATCATCTACTTCCTCAACGAATATCTTCTCTTTGTCAGGAAAACCCCAAGCAGAACCTTCATAGCGACGGTCGTCACCTAAATGAGAAAACGATTATAAAAACAATTCTAAAATCTTACCAAAATCTGTCCGATTCCAAATAAATCGCACATGTGTTTCTGTTCCAAGTTTCCAGTACAGTAATCAGACATCCTGAAACCATTGGTTCGGGATTGAGATAAGAACAGATCAGGGTACAGCTCCACGATGCCCATCGCTGTAGCCAAAGCCTGAATAAAAAAAAACCTTCAAAACAGCAGAAAGCACTAATTTAAAAAGAAAATGTATTCTATCATCATCATCATCAGCAACAACAGCCTTAAATAGTCCACTGCTATAAAGGCAGTTTTGGCCTACTACTACCTACACGTTGGCCAGACGGGTTGGTGTAGGGTTTGTTTCAAGTTTTCCTTCTCTTTACAGTGCTGTTATCGTGCGTAGTTTGCTCCCTTAGTCGGCTCTTACGACACCCACAGGATGAATAGGGGTGGTAACATTCCGTATTCTTAATACGTCCACACACTGTTTATTAATAATTTCTTGAAAAGTAACCATTTCTTGTGAAATGGGAAAACCCAAAAGTCCTAGGAGATATCGTGTTTATAAAATTGGTTTGGTGGTTCTATTGGATTGTTTTCTTTTTTTTTAATTGGATGATAGTCGTGCAGCATCGATCTCATGAAATATTTAGAAGAGGTATGTATTATACATAAATAACAACTTACATAAATACTATCTACGTCGACTGCAAGTTCTGAGAGCATTTCGTTTGGAAAGTATGCTTGATATCCAACTCCGGCAAGCAGGTGAGCTGAAGCGATTTTGGAATTATACTGGGGCATCAAACTCGTTAAGACCAAAAATACAGTGCCTCCTTGAGAATGTCCAATGTAATGAAGCTGGCTACTTTCAGTGTAATTCAATGCGTAGTCAATCATGGCCGGAAGATCATGTATACCGATCTCTTCGAAGGTGAAGTCAAAGAATTGAAGCCTTTGGGTATTATGGTCTGGGTCAAGCGTGATGTGCTTACGGGAGTAGGAATTTCCCCTGGCATTACCCATCCACACGTCGAATCCTTCGTCTGCTAGGTTGTATGCTGGAAAAAACTACATTTGTAATAGCTCTAAAACTCTTTTGGGCCTAGATAGTAGCGTAGTGGCTAAAGTGTCCTATAAAGGTTGAAGAAACGTGAACTGTATGTCGGGATCGTGGAAATTGGCGTTTTATCGTCTTTGAGTACCCTGGACGGAATGCTAGTGAGCAGTGAGCAGTGAGTGGTGGTAATGAGTAACTAACAATGCTAGTGTTTCTTTACCAAAAAAATTGCGATAGATCTCACAATTATAAATTCCTCGAGACTCTTTGTCCAGATGATATTTAAAGCGTGATCTAAGATAGAACTAGATTTTAGAACATTCGGACATTTACAATGTAGGTTTTTAAAACAAAAAAATCCTTGATGTTTATTTTCGGGAATTAGTCAGTCGTTCGTTATGATGACGCTTGCAACAGTTCCCAACTATCGGAAAGTACCCGAAAATAAGCCTAGTAAATTTCCCGTTTGTAATAATTTATCAAGTAAAAATAACCATTCTGGTTTGAGTCAAAGAAATACCTAATTTCACTTTAATAATAGACGAACCAAATTCCATTTCACCTTGCAGAAACTGATGAAATATGGTCACACACCTCTGCCTTTCTTAGATAACATGACTCATCGCTTCGATGTTTGATTAGAATTAGGGATGATCCCCTGATTATATTAATGAGAAGCTCACCAAAACTGTTGTTAGCACCTAACATAATATATTGATTTGACGCGCCCATCAGTCCATGCATGAGGAATACTACCGGCCTTTTTACATCACTGTCGACTGCTTCTCTTCCATGAGGTATTCTGTGCATCTCCAGTATGTACCCATCGGACGTGGTGACACTATGTGTTTCTGCTGGAAAGCCATCAGCCCTTATTTTCTCTACCTGTAGAATCATAAGTATCGATAGTGTTTATTGGCAACAAATTGAACATGGTCTGAAGAATTTGAATATTAAAATAATTTTTAATTTATTACATTTCTCTACTAAGTGAATATATCGTGTATATATGTTTATACGTGTTTATATTGTTTATACGTGTATACCATGTATTCATTAAGACCTTTGTGAAAAACGTGGAGTCTGTGTTAGGAAGGCCCTGCAACCCCTATACGCAAACCGCTCGCTCACTCCAGGTACTTGAGTATGAGTTACAAACGACACTTATTTTATTCTTCTTGTGCAAAACTTAACGGTAACAGGTAAAAAATACGCACTGACCAGCTTCATACATACATATACGATTGATTAGTCTAGCATCTAAACATTTTACATTTCATACGCGTACTTACGAGTATGTATCTTACAAATCTTCGGACTGTAGTAGAAGTGACAAATATAAATTAAATGACAGACATAGCCATCCAGCTAAATGTGTACTGCCCATTTAAATTGTGAAACTATCCAAGCCTAGATACACTAGCGTAAATTTAACTATTAATCAACTTACTGTTTGAGATGTTGCCCCACTATGAATCTGCGCATTTTCATGGGCAACCAGCCCGTACACAATATACACAAACAAAAACCTTCCTATCATTTTATCAACTAAGGGAATGATTCATAAAATCCAAATTTATATAGAGTTTTTATCTTTAGTATGTAACCATTAAATAATATTGTTAAGTACATTATCTTTATGGAAATAATAGACATACCGAAGTAGCTGTTATAAATTGTAATTATTAGAAAATAAATATGGGTGCACTCGTACTTATGTACTTAAAGATAGGTAAATAAATATACCGATATATCTTTTCTTTTGCTTACTTTAATCGTAGTCCCATTTACTTAATAGGGACAAGACTATTGCCAACTAGGCATTGTGAAAAATAATGAAAAAGACGTGTGGTACTCGGGGACTGCCGCGGTAAAGCTATTGCATAGCATTTTTATCAACTTATGCAATTATAATTATTTATTTATTTTATTTATGCAGTATTTTTTTTCCTTTGTTTTTTTTTTCTTTGATATTAATTAGATTGCGGGGCGAAGAGGGGGAATACGCATGCGCAGTAACGCCGATACAACCAATGCCACCTAGAGGCGAGTTGCTGAACTAAAGAGACAAGCGTGATATTTCAAAAAAGTCATTAAAAGTTATGCTATTCATCGATAGATGGCAAAACTAAAAAGTAGATAGTACCTGATGTTAATCCATACTTCCATACCTTATATAAATGTGATAGTGAGTGTGTTTGAGTGTGTAACTCCTCCTGCACTCCGATTATAACCACTTAAACGATTTAAAAAATTCTTCTACTACTTTTTACCGCGGTAATCGACATAATGGCGGACGGAGCCGTGAACAGATGCTAGTATCTGGATAGAACTAAAATGAGCGATGAGGAAGTCACCAACAGCGTGATCAGCATATTTCTAGCTGACATACTTTTTTAACGTTCGTTTTTTCAGAGTTGGTTTCTTATTGTAACGATTACTTACATAAAAATTACTAATAAAACCTAATGTTAAACCTTTTGGGGCGTTTGATATTTTGTTATCTGTAATAAAAAACATAATAAGTAAATAACAAGTTGTTTACACTAACTTTCTATACTTCTCGTTAGACCACTAAAAGGTTCATTCTAGTAAATTCTATTTGTTATGAGAATTTTCTGTTTTCGAACTGTATATCCGAATCACATTTACCTACCGTTCAAGAAGCAAGTATTAACCTAGTAATGCATACTTGCATAACTTCAGCGATATCACTCTTACTGATTTAATTTATACAATATAATAATATGAAATAAATTATTATATTATTTATATATTATAATTATTATATTATAAATAATTAATTTAATTTTTTTTTCGGATGAGGAAAATGTGGCGAAGAAAGTTTTAGGTATGAGAGTTGAAGGGTACAAGAGAAGAGGCAGACCGAAGAAGAGGTGGATGGACTGTGTCAGGGAGGATATGGCTATTAAGGGAGTAAACAGTGAGATGACGCATGACAGAGTAGAATGGAAAAATCATATATACTGCGCCGACCCCAAATAAAATTGGGAAAAGGGTAGGCAGATGATGATTTTCGGACCCGAAACTGGTAGGATAAATACGAACTTTGTACGTACGAGTTAAGAATGTTCGTCTTAAAAAAAGTATCGTTGCTTTTATTTAGTATTATATACTTGGACAAGGTCAAGACTTAACAGCAACCTGATAAAACTTTTTTGAATCATTAGAAAAAAACCATTTAATGTTTTATTTATATTATATATACAAATAAATAAAATTGGTGTCTGTTTGTAATGTCAAAATAATAGGTTTTTTCATGCTCACACGGTTATTTGCACGATACCTCTGCCTAAAAACCAATTTAAAAAAATTGTCTGTCAGTCTGTCCGAAAAATAGCTGGACCGATTTTGATAATATTTTACTACGAGGTAGCTGGCTATATAAGGAGTAACTTATGCTATTTTTCCTCTCAGAAAAACTCTATAAAATGGTGCCCGGCCCGGGAATCAAACCCAGCCTAATGGATTGCAATCGCGTACCGTACTACACCAATGAGGCAGCGCCTTTCAAAGTCGCGGGTACTAGCTAGTTATGAATAATAATAAGTAATTCATTTTTATGTTGCATTTTTAAAGAATTTTCTGATTGTGTTGTAGTAATTAACTCATAGTAAGGTCTAATGAGAAAAATTACACATTAGTTTTGTGAATGAGGTTGCTATTAAAAATAAGGCGTCCTAAATGCAACAAATGAGTTTCTCGGAAATGTTAGTTAAAAGTGTAGGCACTTTACTTATACAGATTGCTACAAAGATTTTATACTTTTCAGCGGACATAATTCTAACTCAAAATATTTTACTAAACTTTTTTTTATTAAAAAATATTTTAGATTTTTCATTAGTTATACATAATATCGTAAAGATTATTAAACCGCTGCATGAAGGTTCGCAGAATACCAAAAGTAATAGGTTTCGTCCTTCTTACCTATGCATACCCTACTGTTGCCCCTACATTAATTAAAACGATTACCTCGTAGTGAATATTGATTCTGCAAAATGCGGTCAAAATCGTCGCTTTTATCAAAGTTATTTGGTTACTTATTTTATAGTCTAATGACTATTCATACTTATAAATGTAAAAGTGATTTTATTTAAAACAGATTTTAAAAACTCTTTTATCAATGGAAAGCTACATTTTCAGCGATAGGCTGCTTTTTACTGCGATAACCGACATACAAGGCAAAAGCTGGTCTGAAATAAAATATCTACCATTTAAAATGTCGATGTTCAAAATCCCAAAAATTACAATACGTTCCTAATGGTTGTTTAGATCTGGCACCTCACTCTTCTTTACGATAAGATAATACACGTGTAGGTGGAATTGAATCAAAATAGAAAAAGTTCTAAACGTCGCTTGAGTATTTTATCGAAGTTCATAAAACATAATTTTGCAATACCTACACGTGTCTCTGATCTCAATAATTGTTGTAAAAATATTTTATTGACAGATAATGTTAAAAGTAAAGTTATTTTAATATAAAATATCTTTTGGAACTTACAGTAAATTATTTTCTACTTTTTAGTTCGGCTAGTTGCAATAGTGTGTTTTTTTGTTTTTTTGAACTATAATTTATTTTTGCTTTTTTTAGTCATTAATAATTATTTTCTCATTAAGACTTAAAAAGTAACAAGTAATTAAGTCACATAGCAAATAACACTACCGTATTATTAGGTATAGAAAAAGCCGTAAATCCTGAAGAGCCTGTGTTAAAATCTACCTCACTACGAGTATATTCAGGCGTCGTAATGCTCAAAATCAGAATAAACTTCTCTTAGCGACAAAAGTGACATTGAAGGACCTCGGGGAATTCGGGGATCAGGTGACTGATAGTCACTATTCTAACGTATCCCAAATGATTCCTTAACAGTAGAATATTTTAAATCGATTTCGAACATTCGCTCACTTCGAATCACTCGGCAATTCAATCTTAGACGTTTTAAGATTAGTTTACAATTTTCAATATTTCAATATATTCGATATTTTAACTTTAGAGGTTTTAATCATTTTCATTTTAACTGTAGAAATTTTATTTTTAGATGTTCTGTTACGTCCCCAATTATTACGCATCTTAGTAAAAACATCGTTGGATCGAAAAGACAAAATATGTTTTGCTTAAATGTAAATGTAAAATAAATCAAATAAAAGTCAAAAAATTTGTTGTGATATTTATGGTGATTTGCATAAGGTCGAATATCAAATAAACTTAAACATCTTGAGGACTAGAATTAGATTCCTTTTTTAATAGGTGTATTTTTAAGCGCTTTAATAATGTAATCGGTCACTAGTTCCTTAGCATCTGGAGCTACAACATAATCTACGTGTTCAAAGCTTTCTCTAGCTACTTTCCGAACTTTCGTATTAGGCATGTCCGCGGCCATATCGAGAACATCTCTTTCATCCAGCAAGTTATCATTCAGTGAGTAATGCATTGTGACGTCACTATCGATCAGACTCAAGTCGTACTGAGGTGGGTTTAAAGATCTATAGTTGATGAGGTTAGTGATACTGCCGTGATCGTAACGACGGAAACGCTTGTCTCGTATATTTTGACCATAGTGTGCCGCTTGCTTGAGGGACGCGCCAGCTGGCATCAAAGAATCGGGTGAACTGTCAGATCTCTGAAAGTAGGAAAAAATCAAAGTAAAGAATTTAAAATTTTATAGTGTTCATCACAATATTTTTAATACAGACAGTTAGACCTACTAAAAAAAAAGATGTTTGAAATTTTCTTCTTATTTGCTCTTTGTTGGCAATATATGTTATCATTTTGAAAATGACATTTTCAATGTGACGGGCCAAGCCGGAGGTCATGGCTTTGATTCCCACCCGGGACAAATATTGTGTGACGAGCACGGCAATTTTTTCTGTGCCTAGGTGTATTGTATCTATAATATGTATGTATTTAAATATAGTATGTTTACCAGCAGTCTGATTACCCTAGCACCCTGGCTCGCCTAGTTTGGGATCAGACGGCCGTGTGTGGGATGTGTGAGGTATTATTATTATATTTTAATTCCCAAGTTCAATGGCAAATGCCATTTGGTGTACTAATTTATGAAATTGTAAATATTGAATGATTTCTGATGATTTCTGCAGGAAATGTAATAGAATAGTCAATAGAAATATGCAATAGTGAGTCTGTAAGTAAGAACTATGTAATAGACAACATAAAATATTATTATCTGTATCTAAAATGTTCAGTGGTGTAGATTTGTGGGCACGCCGTTATCGCGATATTAAGACCCGTTATGGAGGATTGGCTCTAGAGGCATCACGGAACCCTCTCATGCCGCTTGACGCAGGTGATCACAGGGAGGATGCTTTGGTGATCGCCTGTGTCTGATCAGAGGCGTTGCCTCGCAGCCATCGGAGTGGAAGTTCTCTCGCTCGGTAACATGATTGCCGTCATGGTACGGAGCGAGAATGTGTGGAACTCCGCCGTCTCCTTCTGCGAGCAAGTTATCTTTGTAAAGGAGATGGCGGAGCGGGACCGGGAGAGGCTTAAAACCCTCCCGGCTCGAGAACGGGCCAGGTACCGCAGACGACTTAGGCACCGGAGGTCGCAGAACGACCTCCGTCCTCCATAAGCGCAGGCCTGGGGGTGGTAGGTGAGACGCACAGCGGAGAGACATAGGGTTTCCTATACAGCAGGGGTTCATCTACACCCCTTAGATGGCCCGAGGTACATCGGGGTATCAAGGATTTCCTGCAACTGGTACCCGAGACGTCGTGTGGTTTTTTGGTCGGTTCGAGTATGACATAATCACCGGTGGGTAGTATTCGAGGGGATTTCCGCACAGAAAAAAAAAGTGTTATGGATTAGGATTAATTCGTATATTAACAATCTTATACCAATATAAGATTGTTAATATTTAAAGATAAGCTGGTAATCTATACTAATATTATAAAGCTGAAGAGTTTGTTTGTTTGTTTGAACGCGCTAATCTCAGGAACTACTGGTCCGATTTGAAAAATTCTTTCAGTGTTAGATAGCCCATTTATCGAGGAAGGCTATAGGCTATATATCATCACGCTAAGAGAAATAGGAGCGGAGCAGCAATGAAGAATGTTTCAAAAACGGAGAAAATTTATTACTATTGAGGGACGCAGACGAAGTTGCGCGGGTCAGCTAGTAGGATATATTTATAATCACCAAAACTTGATAATGACCGATAACTGACAACGTAAAACAAAAAAATTATAACTTCATTTTTAATTAAGCACATAGATATTTAGAACTGTTGTATATTAAGAATTGTGAATTCACATATTATATGGACTTTGGATGCCTGTAGGTTTGTTATGGCCTTGTTTTGCAAAATTAAACTAACACTTTTTCTACATACACATACAAACGCGAAATTACTGAAAAAATAGGACTAAAAATCCATTTTAATATACAGATATTAAAAATAAACCTAAGAAGCTTACCCGTTTGTCTTTGGTTTAATTCGTAATTTTTGTAACTACCAGTCAAATTCGAAAATTTGTTTTTATCTCACTTTTTTGTAATCTGGGGCAGTCATTTCGTGAAAAGGGACGGCACTGTGTAACTCATTTGACCAATGAGAGTACGTGGTGCGGTTGGCAGACAGATGGTGGGTGAGATATCAGATGTTCCACAAAATATGCGACTTCTGCAAGGCTCACTCGTTTTCAACAACAGCCTTTACTAGTCTACAGACAGGGAGAGGCCTACCTAGAAAGGAGATTTCGGCCTACTGTACCATGCTGGTTAGACGGGTCGGTACTGTAGGGTTTGTTTCAAGTTTTTCTTCTCTTTGCAGTGCTGTTATTCTGCGTCGTTTGCTCCCTTAGTCGCCTCTTACGACAGCCTTGGGATAAATAAGGGTGGTGACAAAAGAATACTTAATCCGTCATCACACGGACAGTTTAAATTAACCGGTTAATATGAATTATTATTTGTTCATCAGACTTATTGTTCAGAACACTCAAACTAGGCATGGTATGATCACTGTCTTCTAAAAAAATGTGTTGTCCTGCGTAGTTAGCTCCCTTAGTCAGCTCTTACGACACCCACGGGATTAATTTCTTAATATGACAGTCTAATATTTACCAGTATATGATCGACCCCATACAGTTCGCACAAGTCCTTTTGCTTAGGGTCTCCAGTACAGTAGTCAGCTGTTCGGTAGCCATTAAAAGTGCTTGGCATTAATAGTTCAGGATACAATTCCACTATGCCTAACGTTTTGGAAAGGCTCTGAAAGGAAAACAAAATGTGTATATAAGAACTGAATATCTGGTATTTATTTTTTGTTGGGTCTTGAGTCTTGAGTTGATAAACTCAAAATTTAAACAATTCAGGGAATGAAAATTAGTTATTTAATTTTTTAACGCTACATATTAAAAGTAGAGTCATAGTTTGGAAAGATGCAAATTTGAAATATATTTTTGTATTTGAAGTAATTGTAGAAATTATTTTATTTTAGAAACGATTTTATTTTACACTTTTATGCGCGGCTTAGCTCTTGCTTTGCTAACCTAACCTCACCTCAATGTAGATTTTACAATCAATAGAGGGGCAGACGTTTTAAAGATATTTCTTAATATTTGTTAAATCAGCAGTATTATTCTCTTATTCCTTTTAATAAAAGCGTATGTCATGAATCATCATATTCAAAAGCTTTATGTTATCAAAGTCATGGAACTTACATAGATAGTGTCAACAAATCTCGCTGCTGTTTTTAATTGTCCATTAGGGAAATATTTTTGGTAACCAACTCCAGCCATCAGGTGAGCAGCGGCGATCTTCTTATTGTACTCGGGCTTCAGAGCCATCAGGACCAAAAACACAGTGCCTCCTTGAGAATGTCCAACATAGTAGAGCTGCTGGTTTCCAGTATACTCTAAAGCATAGTCGATCATGGCCGGAAGGTCTATTATGGCGATTTCTTCGAATGTGAAGTCGAAGAAGTCGTGCTTTTGAATTATGTGGTCAGGATCTAACTTAATATGCCTTCGAGAGTTGTAGTTTCCTCTAGCGTTGCCCATCCACACGTCGAAGCCTTCATCTGCTAAGTTGTATGCTGTAAAGGAACCATAATTTATTTATTTGATATTGCATTAGTGATAGCACCCTAAATAGGATCAATTTGATTTGTTATACTTATAGTGGACTTCGAGACATACGTTATTAATTTATTAAATATATTAAGAAAAATTTAATTGATTGTTTTTTTTTTATTATTATTATATTTCACACTTAAAAAAATGACTGAATATTCCTTCTTATCCAATAACAAAATACCCATTAAAATCTGTTCACAAACGAATGTTTTGAAATGTTAGTTTTTGCAGCAGTTTTTAAGTAGTATTTCTTGTATGCTATGCTGTATTTTGTTACAATCGGACTTTTTCAAAAAGTTCATTGTTTAAATTATTTACAATTGGCGAAGATGGATATTGCATAACGCTCTCTCTAATGCAGAAAATTAATAACTTTCTCCTCTACAGATGTCGTTTTGTACTTTTGAATCCAAGAAATATTCTTACCTTGTAAAGAAGTGCTGGGTTTTGCAACCAACGTATAGATATTTTTTATGTATAATATCGGTTTATTATTTCGCAGCCTCATCATCACATCAACAGCCTTTAATAGTCCACTGCTAAACATAGGGCTCTCCTTAGAAAGGAGGTTTTGGCCTACTATACCACGCTGGCCAGACGGGTTGGTATAGGGTTTGTGCAGAAATGGTTGAGGGCCTTTTCCCACAACGAGCGGAACACACTCCCCCGGCGATGGCCTCCTTGGCCGGAGACGACGGGGAGCACGGGGAGGATAATGTTCCGCCCGTCCGGGATTCGGAGGTAGGGGCGGCTGTTCTACGGATCCGTTCCAAGAACACCGCCCCTGGGCCAGACGGGGTACCGGCCCGAGTGCTGGCCCTGGCCCTCAACCACATGGCAGACCGCCTCGGGGAGGTGTTCGACGCTAGCTTGGCGTCGGGACGCTTCCATGAGTGCTGGAAGAGCGGGAAGCTGGTCCTATTGAGGAAGCCGGGACGGCCTGCCGATTCGGTCGCGGCCTATAGGCCCATCGTGCTGCTGGACGAGGCGGGCAAATTGTTTGAGAGGGTTCTTTCTGCCCGCATCGTCCGGCACCTCTGCGAGGTGGGCCCCGATCTGTCGGACGCCCAATTTGGTTTTCGGGCGGGGCGTTCGACAGTCGACGCCGTGTTGCGCCTGAGGGCCGTGACCGAAGAGGCCGTGAGCTGTGGCGGCGTGCTGTTGGCGGTGTCATTGGACATCGCCAACGCATTCAATAGTCTGCCATTCAGCTGCATCAGGGAAGCACTCCACTATCATGGGGTGCCAAAGTACCTGAGGCGGCTAGTGGCAGACTATTTAGAGGAGCGTACCGTCGTGTACGAGGACCGAGAAGGCAATCTGAGGTGTCGGCCCATGTCGTGCGGTGTTCCACAGGGGTCTGTTCTTGGACCCCTCTTGTGGAACATAGGGTACGACTGGGCCCTTCGCGCCGATTTCCCCCCCGGGCTGGGTGTAATCTGTTACGCAGACGATACCCTGGTGACAGCCCGGGGGGCAAACTTCCAAGAGGCGGCGCGCCTGGCCACAGGGGGAGTCTCCCTGGTGGTCGGGCGCATTGAGGCGCTGGGCTTACGGGTGGCCCTAGATAAGACGGAGGCCCTGTTATTTCATGGGCCCCGTCGTGGTCCACCCCCTGGCGCCTCAATCGTGGTCAACTCGGTCCTCGTACCGGTTCGGGCCCAGATGAAATATCTGGGCCTGATCCTCGACGGGAGGTGGCTCTTCGACGAGCACTTCCGACAGCTTGCTCCAAAGCTGGTCGGCGCTGCGTCTGCCCTAGGGCGACTCTTGCCCAATATGGGTGGACCCAGCGTCGCGACAAGACGGCTGTACACGGGGGTTGTCCGGTCAATGGCGCTGAACGGTGCACCGGTGTGGGCGGCGGCTCTGACCGCCCAGAATAGGGTACGCCTCTGGCGCCCTCAGAGGGTAATGGCGGTCAGAGCCATACGCGGTTACCGCACCGTTTCTACGGAGGTGGCATGCGCGTTGGCCGGAACTCCCCCGTGGGATTTGGAGGCGGAAGTGCTCGCCGAAGTTTATCTGCGAGTGGCTGACTCCCGGGCGGAGAGCGGATTTCGCCCTCCGCCCCGAGGATGTGCGCGAGTGGCGCGAAGCCGCTCGCCGAGCCACGATGGCTCGTTGGTCGTTCCGGCTGGAGACTCCACGCGCTGGCTTCGCCGCCGTGGAGGCTCTCCAGCCGGTCATCGCCGAGTGGGCAGGGCGGCAGCACGGGACCCTTTCCTTCCGGCTGACGCAGGTGCTTTCCGGGCACGGTTGCTTTGGAAAGTACCTGCACACGGTCGCTAGGAGGGAACTGAGTCCCGCCTGCCACCACTGCGACTGCAGTGAGGACTCGGCCCAGCACACGCTGGCGGTCTGCCCCGCATGGGCGGCGCAGCGCCGGGCCCTCACCGCAGTCATCGGAGTGGATCTCTCGCTACCGGCCGTAGTACGCTCCATGGCCGGTAGCGACAGTTGTTTTACCGCGGTCGCAACCTTCTGCGAGGTAGTAATCTCGCGGAAGGAGGCGGCGGAGAGGGCCCGGGAGGACGACCTCCACTCAGACCCGATCCGCCGCCGGCGAACCGGGCGGCGGAGGCCCGCCTATCACAGCCTCATGCTGCCCTGAGTGTGGCCGCGGGTGGACGGGGTGGGTTTCCTCTCCACCCGCATTAGTTTGGCCAGCCGCGAGGGGGCGGCGTCCGCGTGTGCCGGACGTCGCCTAAAGAGAGGGAAAAAATATTGAGACGGAGCCCGCACCAGGAGCGGGCTGGCGCTAGGAGGGGTCCGGATGTCTTAACAACAGCTGTTCCCGGATCCCTCCTGTTACAGGCGCAGAGTGGCACACCGTGTGGTTTTAGTCGGTCCGAGTCCGACACACCACCCCGCCGCAAACCCCGGAGGGGTGACGGTTCAAGGGGATTTCCACACGTTAAAAAAAAAAAAAAAAAGGGTTTGTGTCAAGTTTTCCTTCTCTCTGCAGTGCTGTTGTCCTGCGTTGTTTTGCGTTCTTAATCCGTCACCACACGGACCATTTCGCAGCCTAGAGAAAAGTATTCCTGATCTTGTCAGGGAATACTTTTCTCTTGCTGGCTGACTTCATAATTTCATCATTTGGGCATAATTTCATAATCACGCCCTCTGATATTTCTTTAACGAGTACAAGCAGAAGTTAAAATCTTACCTAAGCTGTTGTTAACTCCTAAGCCAATGTAATTGTTGGACGCTCCCAGCAATCCATGCATGAGAAATACCACTGGCCTTTTAGCTGTACTGTCGCCTCTTCTTCCGTGGGGTATCCTGTGAATCTCTAGTATGTACCCATCGGATGTAGTAACATAATGGGTTTCGGCTGGGAACCCATCAGCTGCAATTCTTTTTCCCTGTAATAATGAACGCATATCAAGTGACTGGCTGACCCGCGCAATTTCGTCTGCGTCTCTCAAAATAAATAATTTTCCCCCGTTTTTGAAACATTTTTCATTGATAAGCCGCTCCTATTGGTCGTAGAGTGATGATATAATGCCTATAGCCTTCCTTGATAAATGGGCTATCTAACACTAAATTTTTTTTCTAATCGGAACAATAGTTCCTTAGATTAGCGCGTTCAACCAAACAAACAAACTCTTCAGCTTTATAATATTAGAATAGATTAATAGGATTTGATTTCGATTGACGTAAGAATTGAGATTTATGATTTAATTTTAAGTCTATGTAAGCGGTTACCGATACCTTAAACTATTCGGAGTGACAAGAAAATTCTGAATACATCATGCCAGAGGACAGTAAATAATTTGCCAGAACTCAAAATCTGGTATGATATAAGCATTTGTTAACACTTCTGAAAAATCTCATTAATATTGCAATTAGCAAAATCTTAACATTTGTTTTATTGCATTGATACCATCTTTATCCACATTTATTTTAATATAAAGAGTGGCTAGATATTCGAAAGCAAATAATTAATTTAGATACAATAAAATCAATTATTAGCTTTTGTTCCCCACGTAAATTATTTACAATTTTTTCCACTCGGCATTCTTCTGCTTTAGAAGATGCGTTACCATGACGAAAATCTTACTGTAAAGTCATCTACGTATATTCAATTTCAGGCACGTTTATAATTATTGAGTATTTTTTGTATGCGCCACAATTCAAGACTGTCAAAGTGATTTACAAAACTTCATAAATAATTACTTATCAATTTTACTAAAAAATAGAAATACATACTACTTCATTGTATTTACAACTTGCAACAAGACAGAAAACAACTAAAACTTACAGTTTCAAAGAAAGGGTTTCTCGCCTGTGCGCACACGCACACAGCACACACTAGTAGAAGCTTAACAAACATTTTGGCGTACTACGAAAACATTTCGCAAACCCTTCTATTATATGTCCCTTTATCTTTATTACACAGCTACTGTTTAAGATAAGTGATTTAGTTTTATGGCAAAAAATTATTATAATCTAAATTTATTTGTCAAACAAAGCCAGCATATATATTAAAAGGATTTTAGTATGAACAAAACACATGCAAAAACAGATAGCAGATCCGTATTGATAAAATACGTAGGCACGTCCGTTGTAGTGGTTGTTTTTATGGTACAGGGATCAAAAGGGGGGTATTTCGTATAATATATGGACAGCTACGACTCAATACTAACAAGTGCGTTTCCTGAATGCCTCAACTATAATTAAGATTGAAGAGAGGGACAACTCCGGTAACCAATCGCACTCAGGGATATGCGAAGAAAGAGTTGCTTAACAACAGTTTTGTTAGCCTGTGGTATAACTCTGGTACCGGTTTGTACCAGAGTTATACCATGACAGGTCTATAGGTATTTTCCGAAGCATGGCTCTTCCACGATTAATTACATTTAATGAAATTGACACTATATTTAGGTCATCACGATGACCTCCGAAGCAAAACGAATTTGCCGCCGCTTTTCAACGACATAGATTAAAACCTTAGTTTGACCTTCGTTGGCAACACGCCACTAACTACAAGGTACTGTCCCGCTCAATGCTAATTTGCATGCGTGAGTACTTTCATTTGTATTGATTTGGGTTTCTCTATGAACTATTTCCAACAATATGATGCTAAGTACCACTATACTAAAATTATAAATGCGAAAGTGTGTTTGTCTGTCTGTCTGTCTGTTACCTCTTTACGCTTAAACCGCTGAACCGATTAGATGTGGTATAGAGATAGTTTGAGTCTCGGGAAAGGACATAGGATAGTTTTTATCCCTGAAATCATCCTTTAAGGGATGAAAAGGGGATGGAAGTTTGCATCAATAACCGCTGAAGCTATTTAGATGAAATTTGGCATAGGGGTAGTTTGATTCTTGAGGAAGGACTTAAGCTATTTAGCTTAAGGACTATTAACCTCGATAGCCGACATACATGCGATCGGAGCTGCGGGCAAAAGCTAGTTTATATAAAAGTAAATTCTTTAGAAGACAATGATAATACCAAACCTAGATGATTGTCCTAAACAATAAGTCTGATAAACAAATAATAATATACATTAACCGATTAATTTTATTGGTCGTCAATTTAGTGATTGTGTCAATTTGGTCGTCAACGTGCATTGACATTGCAATGGAGAAAGCTTTCTCGCCTTACTCCCTGAATTACTGTCTCACATAGGCAATAGAATATATAAGAATAAAGATATGTCAGAGTTAGTAGTGAATAAGTCCTTCGTCCATTAGACAAAATTGTCTAAACTCGGTTTTCTCTCCAATTTAATGCAATACGAGTAGAATTATCGACTTAAATCATCATTGTTTGAGTTTGATTCTTCAATCCATCATGCCAGAAACAATCTATGTAGATAGGTACAAAATCAAAATTTACTTCAGATGACCGATCTGCCAATTTTGTGAGCGTACACTATTTCAAAATATATTGAAATCGAATCACCGTAATAATAAAGAAATGAACCCACGCGATGCTATGTTTAATCACAGATACAGTCGGTATCGATATACGAGTATACAATTGAACGATAAGAAGTTTACATTAATCCACTGTATTAATGAATTACGAGAATTTTAAACGGATTAATATTATAATATCATTTAAGTGTCGCACTACATTTCATTGAACCCTACTTTTTTTATATAATACTTTATGAACAATGTGTACAGCGGCGGGCTTAATTCCAAAGGCATTCTTTGCCAGTCTACCTTGTATTGGCGTTTGATGTATTCAACCTTATATTTCTAGGGGTCAGTATACACATGCTTCACTCTTTTTACAGGTTACTATTCAGAGTGCTGGGTCATGTTTTATAAGGTTCATTTGTCGTGTATATAATAGTCAAAGTAGAATATGAGCCACCTGATTTAAGTAGCTGCCCATGTTTTTAAATAGGTATGTAATACAATGCCCGGCAACGCGTTGGTGACTCCTGAGTTGCAGACGTTCATGGGCGGCGATAGTTACTTTCCATCAGGTGAACGTCTGCGCGTCTGTCCCCTCTAACATAAAAAATAAAGTCACACTTATTCTTTTTTTTCCGTGCGGAACTTCCTTCGGATACCACCCACCAGTGGGTGATTATGTCGGACTCGAACCTACCAAAAACCTCATGCCGTCTCCAGTTAGCAGTAGCCGTGGAACCAGGTAAACCCTGGAAAGGAAAGCCCTGGTACCCCGACGTACCTCGGACCATCTGCGGCTTATAGATGACCCCTCCTGTGTGGGAACCCGGATGTTCCCTTCCTGCCCCGAAGGTCGTGCGCGCTGGCAAAAATATTCACCATAATTTTTAAAGATGTAAAACTAAGTGAGTAATTAAGGTCGCAAACGAGATCGATGTCATGTTTCTTTTATGGTAAAGAACTACCACCACTCGAATACCGGTTGGTGTGCTTTGTTTTGTTGTTTCTTTCTACACCTCTGACGACACTAGACGGCAAATTATCCTGGACACGAAGAGTTTTACAGTTTGCTTTGGTAATTTGACGAAGGAAATTACATAGTATGGGTAAGAATAGATCAAAAATATTAAATTTGAACTCTTTTCCGATGCATACCAGCGTTGACCACACTGCACAAAAAAGATACTTATGAAAAATCGGTATCTATTCTAACGTAAGACGATTCTTGATATTCGTTTTTAGTTATGGAATTGCAACCAAGAGGTATATTTCCTCAATGTCAAGAAAAATAACATATTATTTTTATGACTTATATAACATAAACACTGCTTGATTTTATGACAGTAATTAAATTATCAGTTTTGTGTACTAACCTTGAAAACTTGTTAGTCTTTCCTACTAAGAAATTTTATTGTATGGTATATTACCATTTTAAATAAAAACATTAGCTATAAATAGCAATTTTATTGTTATCACTAAGCCCTTTAATACTTTTTTTAAACCTGTGAAACGCTGCATTTTTCAAACTTATTTAATAAACATATCACAACACGAACATACATGGCTAAATATGCCCTAAGACAAAGATTTAAAATATAAATTCGTGTTATAACGTATGATTTTTCTAGTTGCGCATTTTTATACAAAAGTATCAACACCATATTTCATATCAGAAGTCACTTGAAATTTTAATCTAAATTACGAACCTTTAACGAATATTACAGAAAGGCTGGGTACACCATTATTAGTTACAGAAACGGATTATTAATAGCAAACGTCGTGTAGTCATGTACCTTTGTTAAAACTTCATTGGGATTATTTATTTTCAAATTAAGTCGCTTTTCCGACTTGACCTTTTGTCTTCAAATTTGAATCTAATTGTCTCGAAAATTAAGGTTTAATTTTAGGTTAGACCTTTACATTTCGCCTTCTCATTAGAGTTTGAAATTTCAACATCTTGAAGTTGAGAGTTTTGGATCCAATTAGCATATATTCATATGTATACGAAAACTACTATTATATTTTACGAACAAAGTAAAAAAAAAAACACTAATTGAAGTATAGACAGACACATCCCATGTTTAGAAACAATAAGACAAAGAGGTACAAAATAAAAACCCTTTAATTGGTCAGATATTATTCAGGATCGAAAAATCCGAAGCGTAACGCTAGTAAATGAATCAAATCTTTTAAGGAATGCAAAAATAACTTTGACTTACACAGAAAACAGTAAACCCTGAACAAGAAATGAGTAAAGTTTTTGACGACAATACTTGAAAATCTCACATTTAAATTAATGAATAAGGATTGTGAAGTGAAGTGTTTAGCAATTGTTTTGATACAGTTCAGTTCAGGTTGTGAATCAGGCCACCGGAGACAAAATCACCCATCCCCTTACCTCCCTCCTCACTAATTCTGGGACAGGTACTTAAAGGAGAGGCACTTTTAAATCCTCGAGTTGCAGATGTCCATTAGCGGCATTAGTCACTGCTTTTTGCCACCTTAAAACAATGGATTGGTAATTACCAATATATTAATAATAAATATATAATGTATATACTCGTAGTTAAAAAGCGCAGGATTAGTGACCACTGACACATCTTAGGATAACAACCTAACAACTTAGGATTAGTTACTGCATTTATTTTAAAGTTACCAATTCATTAATTGGTAACTTAAAAATAAATTCAGTAAATCTTTTGAACCAATTTATTCTACATAATACGTTGAGCGTGCGTAATACAGAGTTGTGACTAATCCTGCGTTTTTTAACTACAAGTACGTACATTTTTCATCGTGATAGATACTCAATAAAAAAACAATCCTAGACTTTAGTTCATTGTTCGTATATATCAGGTAGCGAAGGTATATTCTGTCACGTCCGCGACCACGCTCTCAGCACGTCCCGCCCTAATTTCAACCCAATCAAGCCATGCCGTTTAAAATCTAAAACGTGTAAGCCTTTAGAGTTTAAATTCTTACTTATTCTAGTATAGAAATGACATTACAGATTTTCTGTTTTAGTTCAGTACCGCCCCTCTAGAGAGAATATTAACAATGTAGTGCAGTACTTTGATAATGTCTCAGTGTTTCAGAACTTCATACAAAAAGTTAGTTTCTAATACTAAAAAAAGGAAAAACCAAAAAGATGCACTTAGTATTTTATCTTTCTTCGTTCTTTTATCTTCTTTTACAAAATAGAATCCTGAAACGTTCAAGATTAGTGTGAATGGGTTTGTCTTGGATGGTTCAGACAACCATATTACGTCTTATTTAATATCGAATCATCATCATCAACAGCCTTTAACAGTTAAGGACTGTTAAAGGCTGTTCGCCCTCTTGTTAGAAAGGAGGTTTTGGCATACTACACCACGCTGGCCAGACGGGTTGGTATAGGGTTTGTGTCAAGTTTTCCTTCTCTCTGCAGTGATGTTGTTATGCGTAGTTTTTTCCCGTAGTC